GAAATCAGTGTTTCGATGCCCTGCGTGCAGCTCTGGAGTTTTGCCCAAGCCGGCCCGGCCGGCCACCGTGCCAAAGAGTTTTGCGCCCAACGTGGTCGTGGCCATTGACCTCTTCGAGCTCCCGGCCTGGAACGGCGAGGGCACCGACCGCTACCTCAATGCTGTCTGTCTGGGCACCAATTTTCAGCTTGTGGAAAAGGTGCGCAGCAAGCAACCTGGAGCTGTTTGGGCAGCCTTGGCACGGGGATGGGCCAGGGTGTTGGGCTTTCCCCAGATCATCCTCCTGGACCAGGGGACCGAGTTTTTGGGCGAGTTTCGCCAAAATGCCCATGACATGGGGGTGCTGGTTCACACTATAGGAGCCAGGGCGCCGTTCCAAAACGGCAGATGTGAGAGGCACGGGGCCCTGTTCAAAACAATGATGCAGAAAGCTGTCTGGTCGTGCCCACCTACGTCGTCCGATGACTTCAAGCTCCTGCTCAGGGAGGTAGAGAGTGCCAAAAATCGCCTCTCGGATCGCTCTGGATTTTCCCCAGCGCAGCGAATGTTAGGCGAAACGCCGAGAACCACCGGCGAACTCCTTGCCGACGAGATGGTCGATGTGGTCCTCAAGGGTGTCTCTGGTGAAATGGAGAAGCGGCTGCAGGCTAAGCGTGCAGCACAAAAGGCGTTCGCCGAGGTGAACACCTCGCAGGCAGTCCGCAAGGCTATGCGGGCCCGAGCCAGGACGCAGCGCACTTTCCGGCCCGGCGATATTATCTTTGTCTGGCGCTCGTGGAAGGCACAGGGCGTCAAGAAGCAGGCGTGGGTCGGACCCGGTGTGGTGGTTCTTCCAGACGGCCCAAATGCATATGTGAACGTCAAGGGCAGGCTGTGGCGTGTTGCCAACGAACACCTCAGAGAGGGTACCTCGGAAGAGATGAGGGGCATCGAAGCAGTGCACCAGGTCTTCGACGAGCTCAAGGAGCGCTTCAAGAGGCCAGGCCGTGAACTTGGAGTGGTCGAGGACCTAACTCAGGAACCGTTGCCGCCGTTTGGGCAACAGGAAAACTTTGGGGACCCCGTTCGTGCCGAAGGAGAAGCCCGAGGGCTACCACGCCAACGGGTGGACGATCCAGAGCCACCGGTTCCTTTTCCGGAGGTGGCCGTTCCACTAGAGGAGGTGGAAGAAGCTA